ATGATATGAAAACCATGCTTTGATACCACTATTTGTAACACCATCGGTTCGGAATAGGGCCAATCCCGGCCGGAGACGTCAGAATATGTCGAGGCTCACTGATAGGCAAACCCGTCTTAGAACAAATCTAAGCTTAAGGCTATCCCGTCAAGTTAGCTCGGCCCTCTCAACCAGAGCCTAAGGCTTGCCAACCCGTACTCTAGCCGAGAGTTGTGCTAACTTGGACTAAATCATCTACCAGCGGAAGACAACAAGGATTTTATACTTAAATCCGCATTTATTCCATAAAAACATACATAATACAAAGCGTCTTATATAAGTTTATTACATAGCGGATCCGTCCAAAAATTAAACGTATCTTGCAAAAATCCTTGCAAATACATACTTACTATTTTACAAAAGTCACCCGAAACTAATCCGGCGGTCCTAACGTCCACGACGCCCTCTACCCCACTTGGTTACTAAGGTTTCCTGCACGGGAGAAAAAGAGGATTAGTAAGATTACTCAGTGAGTCCAGAACCCAATAACAAGAAAACAAAACCCCAAAACCCCAAAAAACAACCCCCAAACAACAAGCAATAAACAAGAAATCAACAAGCAATAGCCAAAGCGCAATAGACAAGCAATAGTCAAAGCATACAACTTAAATCTATATGCAATGCAACACTATCATCGCCTATAAGCAATGATACAACCACTTCCACACCACACTGCGTTCTCTTAATACACACACAATAACACGCGTGGGCACAGAGATCTCTTGGTGGGTCGGCCCAGTTCCCCTTCCATGAACACCATGCACTTAACTATCACAAGTTTAGCTGGAACATCAACAATCCAGGAGCTGCTCGGTCGGTTCACATCTCAGCGGGGTTTTCATCGAGAGCTGCTAAGTCAGTTCACATCCCAACAGGATAATGTCTCTCAATGTTCAACCATGTTATCCCGTCAGATATAACTCGGTCCTAGGCTGCAGTCTCATCACTCCAAGTCTCTCCCCTAGCCGTCCTTCGCTGGTAATGAGGCAAGAGAAACTCTGACCACACCGTCACTAAGCCATGGAAGATAAACACACCAACGTGACTCCGCTAGCCATGACGGACATCCGCCGGACTATTTAACCATGGCGGATCACACACTGCCATGCTCATAACCCCGTTGATCCTCACTGATCAAACGCCCACACACTCTAAGAAGGTAGCTCCCTAGCGTGTGTCGGCTCAGCCGTATGGCCGCTAGTCTTAACTCTCGTTCACAGTTCAAGCCTCACCTGCTTGAATCACACTCATGTACTTTAATAACAATGTCGCTTACATAGCCTTTCGGCCATACAACGGGTTTTACCATAAACCGTACACTTGTTATCTCGGTGAAGGGACATGCAAATGGATCCAAAGATCCGGCAGCCCTTATACCCTTCTTCCATAATCCGGTAAGGATAGCACCATGTCCCATGAACATGGGCCAGCCGTTACCTCAGCCAATGAGTTTCCAGCACACAGATCTACATTTATCCACGGCTCATCCTACAAAACAGGTTAGTCCACACACACATGCATAGATACTACTGTACCGAGAGCAGCGCTATGATACAACGTTAGTCAGACACTCACATTGCACATAGACGGTAATCTGCGATAGTCCACATCTACCATGACTCACCTTAAACTTGACTCACGACCGGAACACACTTGACACAAGCCACCAACGCCTAACCCTCTACACATCACTCTCTCTTTCTATCGGGTTTCTAAGGTTTTGGAGTGAGGATGAAATGTGGGCGGAATGAGATATTTATAGGCTGGAAATCACCATGGGTAACAAGGACTGTATGTAACGATCTGGGCTTATCTCCTCTTGGATGAAGGTCACGTCCCTTGCCTATGACTTAGGCTCCATTTCATAGCTTCTTAGGCCTGCCAACTCGTCCTTATCTTCAACCAATAGGTGAAAGTCTTTTATTGGCCGAAAACTGTTTATTTACCACTCTTTTTACTTTTCACCATGAAATTACCAAGTCTTTGAAGTTAGGCCATGGTAATTAACTCTCCTTTGTCCTTATGCATTAATTTTTTGGTGGACTTTCTATTTGGCTGACAAAGAACTCTTTGGATCAACGTAGATGAGCGGAATTAGCTGTTCTGACCCGATATCGCATCTCGCGAGTTTTCTGTCACTCCCATCAGTCTTTGGCAGTTTCCTTTGGTAGATGAACTCTTCTTAGGATTCATTAATTGTTATCCAACTCCCTTTTGTGTTTGGTTCAGATCCAAGTTGATTTATTCCTTGGTATAGCTCATTTCGCCTTCGGACGCTTCTGGCAGCTTCTTTGAATTTTAACTTGTGATGGCCGAGTTTTTCTTTGACCAAACTTTGTTCCACCGTCTTCAGTAGGTCATTGGCTATCTGCATGCCGGTTCCCGATTTTTCTTTTACATTATGCCTAGTCGTCCAATCGGCCAAAAACTCTTTCAGGGTCATATAGCGCTTGACAGGGTTATTACAGGTCTCCTCCTCGCTCTACTTCATCTTTTGTCTTCTGTCACACGGCACCGTCTGGACGGCTCTAATTTCTTTTGTCACTGCGGGATCTGAGACCATCCTGGCGGGTGATCGATTGGTAGCACTATTGGCTACTTTATTTGTGGGACTACCTATGGGTCTACCTATTTCTTTCTAGCGCTAATTGCTTGGGAGCGAATTGTAGATTGTTTATAGGGGCTGTGTGTTCGTCCAGATAATAGAGTTGGGTCTCCGAGTTTCATCCTTTGGGGATATGAGCGTCAAATGGTCCTGGGACAAAAGTTTGACTGGATCCTACATACATTAGAAATGAGTAATTTGGGCCTCCGAGAGAACCGTAAGAGATTTCTCTCCTGAAGGTTCTCCAACGCTCAAATTAGATTACGTCCTACCGGGAACAGAAATTCGGGAAGGTGGAAGCGTACGAGATGAACCATATCGAGAGTGGAATTAAAACTCTCTCTCGATGGGTGTTACATTTGAAGATTAGGGGAAAAGAAGAAGCTTATCTTGGCTGACGTTCTTTTTGGGAGACGACAAACATACTCCCTTAAGTCCCACTGTATGGTTGGTGCTGCTCCTGCGAGATTAGGAGGCTCCATGAATCTCCTCTCTAAGGTTCTCCTTTTGTATTATCTTTCTCTCTAGATCACACAATCGATCTCCTCTCTCAGATCTGGCATCTCCCTAATCTTTGGTCTGATCTCTAGTCCGATTCTTTTTCTTTCCTTTAGATTTGGCTTTCTTTTGAGTACCCCCTTTCTTCTTTTTTGTCCCATCGATGGTGTAAGCAGGTGAGCTGGTGTAGTACATCTTCGACTTGAAAAATTCACCAACTGTACAAAAATAGTCCATTAGAAAGTTGTTGGGTAAGCCTAAACGAAAAGGTCATTATTTTGATAAAATCTAATGCTAGCTTGTCGTCTCTTAGTTGATTAGAGTAAAAGTAAACCCAATAATAGTCTCTATTTTTTTGTCTTTTTTTTTTCCCTTCCCGAGCTTTTTCTCCAACCAGTTGATCAGGTCATCAAAACAGTATTTGTGCAAGTCAAAATGGAAGTACATGTCCAAGGTGACATTCCGAGAATCTATTGGAAGAGAACAAGTCATACTCAAAGGAAGACGGGATCAGCCTTCAGCCCTACTTTAATTAAGAAGAAACAATCATCAAGTTACTATCGGACAAATTTGGAAGGCACGACCCACAAAGTTCTGACCATGGAAGACACGAGCCAGACCTACCTAGTCTAGGTCGGGACTTCCAAAACATGAATCTATTTTATTATATATATATTATGTTGCCTTTTCTTTTATTTCATTTTTAATTGAAAAACACAAAACATAATATTTTATTTTCTGTTTTCTGTTTGCTTTGTTTTTCTAAACAAAACAAAAAAATCACGATATTTTATTTTTGCAAGTTTTGAATTCTTTTTATGTTTACATTTTTTCTAAAAATCAAAAACAAAAATAAGAAATTACCTTTTGGCAAAAAAATAAATTATTCATTTTTGTTTTTCATAAACAAAATTAAAATTTTATTTACTACTTTTCCTTAATTTTTATATTTTCTGTATTTGTTGACAAAAAAAAAAAAAATTTAAAAGAAAAATAATCAGAAGACCTAAATCACATGCTTACAGAGATGAACCATGCTCTTTGGAGAATAATTCAAAGCTATGTCAGCAATCTTGCCTTCATTATGCTAAATTTTGAAGCAAAACTCTATGTTTTCATAGCACGGAGACATCATGAAGCTTACTTAAGGTGGGAGAGGGACTTCCACGAGTGGTTTTGGTACGGTAGCTATAACCAAAACCCTCCATCATAATCCATGATTCTCATCACCATTGATCGACCGCTCTCGATCAAGTTCTACATAATATCAAAAGTTCATATCAATTTCAAAGTTGAACAAGTTCTTCCATTATCATATCCGATCAATCGGTCACTAAATCATATGATGAAATCAAATTCAACATTGTATTCAATAATCATCTTTATGAAACGAAATCATTCGCTATGATGGCTGAATCATTTTTTTAATTTGATGTTCTCTCATCATAAATAATCTCACAATATCAAGTTTTTTTTTAATACGTTATGTTAAAATGTCATGCTCAAATAAGTTTCGCCTTTCATCACATACGTGTTATGTAACAAAATAATATCTTCTTTGTGGCTAATATAATCATCAATCAAAGGTTTATATAATTCTTGTTAGTTAATTGTGTCAATATAAATTAAAAATACTAAAACAACACTTATTAAAAGTGAAATTTAAGATTCTCAACAAATCATTATTTTCTCAAGAAACAACTTAGCACGTCTTATAAATGTGTTTGAAAGTGCCAAACACGAACCCAAGTCGGAACTATAATATAATACTTACACACACACAAAAAAACCAATTATATATAAAGGGGTTTCATGTTGAACAACATCATAACCAAGAAAAAACAACTAAAAGAGCAGCATGGGTCGGATGAGATCTTCAAGAATGATGGGGTTAGGGCATTGCATGGTTTATGTTGTCGTCCTTAGTGCCATCGCAGCTGCAGCCTACCCATACTCATCCCCTCCAACACCACAATACCATTCGCCAATCCATAAACACAAATCACCATATAAACCCAAAAAGTATTCCCCATACAACTCACCACCATCTCCACCGTACTATTCTCCTTCTCCAAATGTGGACTACAAGTCTCCACCACCACCATACGTTTACAGTTCCCCACCTCCACCATACTATTCTCCTTTTCCAAAAGTAGATTACAAGTCACCACCACCACCATATATCTACAACTCCCCACCTCCACCATATTATTCTCCTTCTCCTAAGGTAGACTACAAGTCTCCACCACCACCATATGTCTACAGTTCCCCACCTCCACCATATTACTCGCCTTCTCCAAAAATAGATTACAAATCTCCACCACCTCCATACGTCTACAGTTCCCCACCTTTACCATACTACTTGCCATCTCCTAAGGTAGACTACAAATCTCCACCACCACCATATGTCTACAGCTCCCAACCTCCACCATACTACTCGCCATCTCCTAAGGTAGACTACAAGTCTCCATCACCACCATACGTCTACAACTCCCCACCTCCACCATACTACTCGCCTTCTCCTAAGGTAGATTACAAGTCTCCACCACCACCATACGTCTACAACTCTCCTCCTCCACCATACTATTCACCTTCTCCAAAAGTAGACTACAAGTCTCCACCACCACCGTACATCTACAACTCCCCACCTCCACCATACTACTCTCCCTCTCCTAAGGTTTACTACAAGTCTCCCCCACCACCATACGTCTACAGCTCTCCACCTCCACCATACTACTCGCCTTTTCCTAAAGTAAACTATAAGTCTCCACCACCACCATACGTCTACAGCTCTCCACCTGCACCATACTACTCACCTTCTCCTAAGGTAGACTACAAGTCTCCACCACTTCCATACGTCTACAGCTTCCCACCTCCACCATACTACTCTCCTTCTCCCAAGGTTGACTACAAGTCTCCACCACCACCATACGTCTACAGCTCTCCACCTCCATCATACTACTCGCCTTCTCCAAAAGTAGACTACAAATCTCCACCACCACCATACATATACAATTCACCACCTCTACCATACTATTCCCCTTCTCCAAAAGTATACTACAAGTCTCCACCACCACCATATGCCTACAAGACTCCCACTTATTGAGTTTTAAATTGTTTCGTTTACAAGTAACATGATTGCTTTATTATTATTTTGATTAATTTGTTTTTGATTTTTTCTGTTGCTGTTGCTTTTGGAAAATGTTTTTGAGATCTTATCAAATGAATAAATGTTGGCTACTTTTAATGCACCTAATGTTTGATGTTGTTCGTACTCCTTAGAAATTTGAAGTTTGTACATTTGGCTATCCGATAATCTAATTTCTTGTAGGCTCAACTAGGAAATGTTCATTAGGATTTCTGTATGTTAGTTGCACTCTGGAGTAGGTTTTTTCAATAAAGGTTGTTATCATATGTATGAATAGATGTGAACTCTCTTCCACAACTTGACATATCAGCATTTTAGATGAATATGCAAGTGTCAAGTGCTAAATTAATATTAAAACTATAATAAAAAATAATAATTATTAAAAAAATACATTAGTTAGACATGTTATATGTACTATTAATTAATTTAGAGAATATAAAAAATTATATATTTATATATGAAGATAGTAAAATTGAATTATTTATCTATTCTCAGCAAATAATCAGATCTATATTGAAGAAATTGCATTTGAAATAAAGAGTATTTGAGATATAAAAAAAAAACTAGAGAAAATTACATTCTGCCAAAGTAGAAGATGAAAACAAATTTTTCTACACCGGTTTTAGTGAAACAAAAAAAAAAAGATAAAATTTAACAGTGGTCTTTGTGGAGACATAGAGAGAATGATCTATAGAGCTCTGATGATAAATATATAAAACTATATTAGATAACTGTGTTTGATCTGCATCTATAAGATGATAGATTTCTTTAAAAATAGCATATAGTGTTATCAATTAACTGCTAACAAAATAAATCTTAATACAATTTTATATAAAATAAACGTAATAGAAAAAGAGTTTAATTACTATATTTATGAAATAATACATTATCCATAAAAAAATTTATAAGTATAAATTTCACATAAAAATATTTTATAACAAAATATATTTTAGAAAATATTTGCGAGTACATACATGTATACATCTAGTAAATATAATTAGAGGTATATGTTTAACGTATATGTGGCGTAGATATGTTCAATCTATCTATTAAAAATAGGGAAACTTTCATGCCTATTTATCAAAAAAGACAAACAAAAATTAGACATCTGTTTAATATAATTTTAACATTGGTTCTAAAATGCAAATTCATCGCTCTCAAATATAATTATAAAAACCTCTTGATAAGAGAATCGAGAGAATGAAATAACTTACCTTTGGCCAATTTTTATCTGTGAACCTCCTCCTATCGTTTTGGGCTACTAAACCCTAGATTTGATCGCAAAGAAAAATGAATGAACAGAAATGACAAAGCGATAAGAGAATGTTGTGCTGTCTTATACAATACGAAAGGATTTACATACATGTACATAGCTTAGGGCATATCCTAGATATGAATATATTGTAAAGGAATATTAACATAATTGATGATATGGAAATATACTATAAGATATTTACAGAAGACTCTTTAATACTCCCCCTCAAGTTGGAACATGAAGATCATGTATGTCCAACTTGCGTCTCAGGTAAGTAAGCTGTCGAGAGCCCAAAGCTTTGGTAAATATATCTGCCAGTTTCTCTATATTGTAGATATGAGAGGCAGCTAGAGAACCATTTTGAATTTTGTCTCTGACAAAATGACAATCAGACTCAAGATCTTTGGCCCTTCATGAAATACCGGATTTGCAGCAATATGTGGTGCTGCCTTATTATCACAATGAAGCCTCATGAACTGCGAACGGGATACACCAAAGCATGAGAGAAGTGCTTGGTTCCACTTCAATTCTCATGTTGTGTAGCATATCGATTGATACTCTTCTTCAGAGGAAGAGCAGGATACCATATCATGTTTCTATGTCTTCCACACAAATGGGGAATAACCCAACATCATGATAAAACTAGTCAATCCGAATCACAATACGCTGTTATTTGTAAATCTGACTGTGAACTCAACAAAATACGTACCCTGACCTGCACAACCTTTAAGATAGCGCACCAAACTTGTTGCTGCATCCCAATGCTTAATGCAAAGGTTTTTCATGAACTGGACTAACATATGCACATCGTAACATAACTTTGGGCTGTAAACCGGAGGTACATCAAGCGACCAACCAACCTTCTATAACGTGCCAGATCATCAAAAAAATCTCCCTCATCATTTGCTAACTTGTGATTCTGTTCCAAAGGAGTACAAAACCGGTTTACACCCTAATAAACCACATTATTTGACAATATCCAATGCATACTTCCGTTGCGACAGATAAATCCTTTCTGGTGCTTTTGAAACTTCAATGCCAAGAATATACTTCAATGGTCCCAAATCTTTCATGTGAAAATATTGCTCAAAAATATCCTTTGAACTTTGCTATTGCAACATGATCATTACCACCAATTAATAAATGTCCAACATAAATGAGAACATAAAGTCTCATAGACCCACACACCAAGGTAAATAGCGAATAATTGGACATTTTCTGAACAAATCCATACAATTGGATCGCAGTAGTCAGTTTAAAAAACCAGCATCTTGGTGCTTGGTGAAGACCATATAGTGATTTCTTCAATTTGCACACTTTCGATTTGTCACTAGAGACAAAACCCGAAGGTAACTTCATATAAACTTCCAATAGATCCCCTTGCAAGAATGCATTATGGACATTCATCTGGTGAACCTCCCATTCTTTTACTGCAACTACTTTGAGAAACATTCTGATCATAGTCATTTTAATTTTTAACCACCAAAGCAAACACCTCATCATAATCAAGTCCAGCCTCTTGTCGATTGCCATATGCAACCAGTCTCACTTTATATCTTTCCACCTCACCATTAGACTTATATTTGATGGTGAATATCAAGTGACACCCAATAGCTTTTTTATTTGGTTGAAGCTCTGTGATATCCCATGTTCCTTGCGCCTCCAATGCACTGACCTCTCCAGATACTGCAATCCTCCAGCGTTTATCTTTTATTGCTTCTTGAAATAATAGTGGTTCACTTTCCACCGTAATGGCCGCAAGATAAGCTCTGTGTGCTGAAGAAAAGCGATCACAATTCACATAATTTGATATAGGATATTCGACCATACCTGGATTCGATGACGCTTGTGGAGGTGGGTGAGGTGAGAGAGATATAGGGTCGTTGGAGCAATGAGTTGTATAAAGAACATGTCCATGGAGTCTAGTCGATTCAGTGTGCTCACGGTGACTCCTAGTATGGGGCTGCATCTACCACTGTGAGTTCATTATGCTCATCCATTGGTGCATTTACTACTGCCCTCTGTTGGCTGCGTGACACCAGTGTCCTCATCGTATGCAAGAAAATCATCATCATACTCCATCACAAGCTGGTGTAACTGTACCTCCAGAATCATATCCTGCTTGGCCTTGGAGTCAAAAGGAAACATCGTTTCTTCAAATACTACATCACATGACACAAAGAACTCTTTGTTTTCAACACCCCATTGATAGAGAGTTTTTTCCACTCTTCTTCTATCTGTGAAAATAGGGAAGAGAAGTTTTTATTAATCTTCAGAGCAATTGTCCTCTCTCTACTAATCAGTTGTAGTATAGATGGATTTTATATCAATCCAGAAGAGTAAGATAATGACATTAAGAATGCATAAAACTAAGTAAGCTAAGCAAATATAGATAAGGGTTTTTTTTGGTGATTTTCTTAACAAGTTAAAATAAAAACTAGAAAGCATAATAAAAATAAGAGCATAACATAAATAAAAATAAAAAGACAAAATTTAAATAAGATAGATAAATAAAAGCATAAATAAATAAGGACTTGAAATAGCAAAATAAAGCTTAAGTAAAAAAGACAAGATAATAAATAAATAAGTAGGACTTTTTTTTTTATCAACTAAATAAGTAGGATTTAAATAAATAAAAGAAAGATAAAATAAACAGAGATAATAAAATAATAAGACTCAAAGATTATAACAAGACTCTAAAGATAAGGAATCATTATATAACTAGGGGGAGTCCACGCGTTGCGTAGATTTATTATATTTTGATGTCATATAATAATAATATTTATATTATAATCTGTTTGTTTGATAATAATATGTAAAAAGATTGAAAATTTATTTTTTAATTAAAAAATTAAAAAATATTATATTATTTTATCTCGATAATAAAGATATGTTGTTCTGTAATATAACCATTCAGAAATATATTTAGGTGAAATTTATGATTATAAAATAAAATATTGATATTTTTTAGTCTTTCTAGGTTATCAAGATATATAGCACATTTACCATCTTATCTTTTGTAGTTTATGTTTGTGTAGTTGATTCTTTTTATTTTGGAGTTTGTGGTGGGTTGATGGAGTAAGAGGAATTCTCTTGTAATATAATGCATATAGTATATTTTTCATTGGATTTGTGTTAGAACTAAAAGGTTGATTTGTTAATAGAATGCTCTATAATATTTGCTATTTGTAGCTTATGATTTTGTTTTTTGTATTTAAGTATTTTTATTATTTTGGTTAAGTGTAGTTATAGTATTTTTGTTAATATTTTATAAACTATTTGTTATTTGTGATGTGTTAATATAATATAGTCTTTTGGCTAATTGTGTTAGTTTTTTTATGTCTTTAATTGTCGGTTTTTAATTTGGTTTTATTGTCGATATTATTGATCCATAATTAGTTGTTGTCAATTTTTTGATTTACTATATATTTCACCACTAATTAAATATTGAGTAACTATTATATTATCTAGTCGTTTTTAGGAAAAGAGGCTTAAAATTAATCTTTTTTGTTTTTTTGTTTTTTTGTTTTTTTTCTTTTTCAGATTATATTCATTATATGGAGAATGGAAACATTACATGTTGGATTTATATAGAAACTGTAATCTTTGGTTTATTTGAACAATAATAGTTAAGTTTTTTTTCATAAATGGCAATGCAAAAATTGTCATTATTCCTTGAAAAAGAATAATGGCATTGCAAACA